CCCCCCAAATAAATGACTTCTCTTACCCCCCCCCAGCCCCCCGCCCCCCCAAGTCATCAATTAAAACCAAAAACCCCCCCCGACCCCTGAGTCCTCCCCAGCTTCAGTACGGAATGCCCTTGAGCTCGCATGCCCCTCCCCCTCCCTGAACTCGCGACAAAAGTAGAGTAGAGTGATCCTGCCCCCCTAAACCAGTTGACCCCACAACAGGTGGCGCCCCTCCTCCCGGTATGGCTCAACGTCCAATGGACTCTTCTCAAGGTCCAGTTCCTTCTTCAGGTCCGCAAATGCCGGGGAGTGGTCCAGCTGGTCAGCAGCGTCCAGCGGTCCAGGCCCCCCAGGGCCCAGCCCAGCAGGCGCAGCCCCAGCAGCCTCAGCCGAGTCAGCAGCAACAACAGCAACAACAACAGCAACAACAACAACAGCAGCAGCAGCAACAACAACAGCAACAACAGCAGCAGCAGCCAGGGGCGAAGACAAACCGCGTGACGAGTGTCTCAAAGCCGGCAGGTCTGGACCCCCTGCTGATCCTCCAGGAGCGTGAGAACCGAGTTGCTGCGAGAATATCCCTGAGAATGGAGCAGCTGAGCAATCTCCCCACAAATATGCCGGAGGACCTGAGAATTCAGGCGCAAATTGAGCTGCGAATGCTGAAGGTCCTGAACTTCCAGCGCCAGCTGAGAACGGAAATTCTGGCGTGCACCAGGAAGGACACAACACTGGAGACAGCTGTGAACGTTAAAGCCTACAAGCGAACAAAACGCCAGGGTCTGAGGGAGGCGCGTGCCACGGAGAAGCTGGAGAAACAGCAGAAACTGGAGGCAGAGAGAAAACGACGTCTCAAGCACCAGGAGTTCCTCAGCTCAGTCCTCCAGCATGGCAAGGACTTCAAGGAGTTCCATAGGAATAATGTGGCGAAATTGTCACGATTGAACAAGGCAGTGCTGAATTACCACGCCAACGCCGAGAGGGAGCAGAAGAAGGAGCAGGAGAGAATTGAGAAGGAGCGAATGCGACGACTGATGGCTGAGGACGAGGAGGGCTACAGGAAGCTAATAGACCAGAAGAAGGACAAGAGATTGGCCTTCCTGCTGTCCCAGACTGACGAGTACATCTGCAATCTCACGGAGATGGTGAAACAGCACAAGATGGAGCAGAAGAAGAAGCAGGTGGAGGAGCTCAAGAGGAAGAAGCAGAAGAAGAAGAAACTGCAGGACGGGGAGACTGGGGAGGATGGGAGCCAGGTGGATCACAGGGTGAGCGTTGTCGAGGTGAATACTGGGAGGACACTCACTGGTGAGGAGGCACCGTTGATGAGCCAGTTGAATGGCTGGCTTGAGGCCCATCCTGGGTGGGAGGCTGTTGAGTCTGACAGTGAGGAGGACGACGAGGATGACGAGGACAATGACGAGAGGAATGAGAACAGGGACAGGTCCAAGGATGGAAACGACCCTGACGCACAGCAGACCATTGCCAAGGCCAAGGTAGAGGACGATGAGTACAAAACTGAGGAGCAAACTTACTACAGCATTGCTCACACTGTACACGAGAGTGTCACTGAGCAGGCGTCGATAATGGTGAATGGTAATCTCAAGGAGTACCAGATCAAGGGGCTCGAGTGGCTGGTATCACTTTTTAATAATAATCTCAATGGCATTCTTGCTGATGAAATGGGCCTTGGCAAGACCATTCAGACAATAGCACTTGTCACGTATCTCATGGAGAAGAAGAAGGTCAATGGGCCATTCTTGATTATTGTGCCACTCTCGACTCTATCAAATTGGGTACTTGAATTTGAGAAGTGGGCGCCCAGTGTTGTTGTTGTCTCCTACAAGGGCTCACCAGCTGGGAGGCGAGCTATTCAGTCACAAATGCGAGCGACTAAATTCAATGTGCTGTTGACAACTTATGAGTATGTAATCAAGGACAAGGGGGTGCTGGCTAAGCTCCAGTGGAAGTACATGATCATTGATGAGGGCCACAGGATGAAGAATCATCACTGCAAGTTGACGCAGGTGTTGAATACCCATTATCTTGCACCCCATCGTTTGCTACTCACTGGGACACCCCTGCAGAATAAACTTCCTGAGCTGTGGGCACTGCTCAACTTCCTGCTGCCGTCTATCTTCAAGTCGTGCAGCACCTTTGAGCAGTGGTTCAATGCACCATTCGCCACGACTGGGGAGAAAGTGGAGTTGAACGAGGAGGAGACCATTCTCATTATTCGTCGTTTGCACAAGGTGCTGCGCCCCTTCTTGCTGAGGCGCCTGAAGAAGGAGGTGGAGTCCCAGTTGCCGGACAAGGTCGAGTACATCATCAAGTGCGACATGTCGGGGCTGCAGAAGGTGCTGTACAAGCATATGCAGAGCAAGGGGGTCCTCCTGACAGACGGATCGGAGAAGGGAAAACAGGGGAAGGGTGGAGCCAAGGCCCTCATGAATACTATTGTGCAGTTGAGAAAGCTCTGCAATCATCCCTTCATGTTCCAAGCAATCGAGGAGAAGTACTGCGAGCACATTGGGGTACAGGGCTCGGGGATCGTCACTGGGCCTGATCTCTACAGGGCGTCAGGCAAGTTCGAGCTCCTCGACAGGATTCTACCGAAGCTCAAGGCCACTAATCACCGGGTTCTGCTGTTCTGTCAGATGACCCAGCTGATGACCATCATGGAGGACTACCTCAGCTGGAGGGGCTTCAAGTATCTCAGGCTGGATGGGACGACCAAGGCCGAGGACAGGGGGGATCTCCTGAAGAAGTTCAACGATCCTGGGTCTGACTATTTCCTCTTTCTCCTGTCGACGAGGGCCGGAGGGCTCGGGCTGAATCTCCAAGCTGCTGACACTGTCGTCATATTTGACTCTGACTGGAATCCCCATCAGGACCTGCAGGCCCAGGACAGGGCGCACAGGATTGGCCAGAAGAACGAGGTGAGGGTTCTGAGACTCATGACTGTCAACTCCGTTGAGGAGAGGATTCTCGCAGCTGCTAGGTACAAGCTGAATATGGATGAGAAGGTCATCCAGGCTGGGATGTTCGATCAGAAGTCGACGGGCTCGGAGAGGCAGCAGTTCCTACAGAGCATTCTCCATCAGGACGACGCAGATGACGAGGAGGAGAGCGAAGTGCCTGATGATGATGTCGTTAATCGGATGATTGCGAGGAGTGAGGGGGAGTTTGAGAAGTTCCAGAAGTTGGATTTGGAGAGGAGGAGGGAGGAGGCCAAGTTGGGGTCAGACAGGAAGCCCAGGCTCCTCGAGGAGACTGAGCTCCCTGACTGGCTCGTCAAGGACGACGACGAGGTCGAGAGGTGGACGTATGAGGAGGACGAGGACGCCTTCCTGGGGAGGGGCTCCAGGCAGAGGAAGGAGGTGGACTACACTGACAGCCTCACTGAGAAGGAGTGGCTGAAGGCCATCGACGACGATGGCATTGAGTACGAGGAGGAGGAGGAGGATGACAAGAGGAAGAAGAAGACGAGGAAGAGGAAGAAGAAGGGGGAGGAGGAGGACGAACCCTCGTCGAAGAAGAGGAGGGGGGGCACTGCCGACGCCAAGATGAGGAAGGCTATGAAGAAACTTCTCAAGATTGTGGTGAACTACACTGAGGCCACTGATGGGAGGACACTCAGCCGGCCTTTCATGAAGCTGCCGTCCAGGAGGGAGCTGCCTGATTACTACGATGTCATCAAGAAACCACTCACCATCAACAAGCTCATGCAGAAGGTCGAGGAGGGCAAGTACTCGGAGATGGATGAGCTTGAGAAGGACTTCCTGCAGTTGTGCAAGAATGCACAGATCTATAATGAGGAGACTTCGTTGATTTATGAGGACAGCATGGTCCTGCAGAATGTCTTCATCGAGGCCAGGCAGAGGCTCGAGAAGGATGGAAACATCTCCGACGACGACGAGGGCGATGATGGGGGCTCCGATGGTGACAGCGTCAGGATGAAGATCAAGATGAAGGGGAGGAAGAGCGAGGGTCGCGCTGGTGGCAGGAGAAAACGAGTCACCAAGAAGTATATCTCGGAGTCCGATGATGCTGATGACAACTAATCGTTTATTTTATTTTATTTTTTTATGATTTGGAGTACATGATTGGCTTTTTTCCGGTGTACAGTATCAATGACTTGGAATTATTATTGCACTTGGGTTTCACATCAGTTTTGATTTTTTTCCACTGTTTCTTGAGGTAGTTTTAAGGTAGTTCAGGCGTTCATGATGACGTGATGATGTTTAAGTGGGGATTGGAGAAAATTTTGGTCCAGTTGATTTTTTATTTCGAGGGTAGCAGTGAAATTCAATCAATTCAATTGGTATATAATTTTTAAGTCCTGAGAAAATTGATTTATTGTGGACTCTGTATGAGGTATTCTAGTTTAGTCAGTTTATTGTAGTTTATACTATTATATTCTACGGATAAGAAAATTAATTTGATGAAAATAAAGGGTGACTAATTGTGAAGAAATATACTGATGGACATAATTTCGGTGGACGAGCTGGTGTTCAATTATTTTGTCATTCTTTTCCTTTTATCCCTTTTGATCAGCTGGTCAAGTATAAACTCCAGATGCCGGAGCTCAGAATCGGAACTCACAGCTCTGAAGATGCAGATTGCAATGTTTGCGAAACGTTGGCGCAATGCTGAAACCAAACGAGGCAATGTCCATTGTCTTATTTATTTGTTTATTTATTTATTGCTGTACACAGACCCAACAGCCCACAGGCCAATTATAGGGTCAAAAGAACGCGTTGGATATTAACAATATATTAAATATTTACAAAATACCAGTTTAATACCCGAATTTCAAATTTATTGTACATATTGACCTCCATTGGCACGTGTACTGTACTCGGCAGCACAACACGGTAACACGACATTCTTACGCGCTAGACACGATGGCATTCTTAAACAATTCACCACACCTCAGGAATGCATTTCCGACACTTGAAAATATGTGTGGGGCCTAGTTTTAGGGTCCTAAACACATGGTCTAAATTTGAAAAAGATCGGAGGTGAGGAGGTCTTTCTTAACGTTTACCAAGGGCCTTCCTCTCGTTGCTATGTGAAAGCTGTCGGAAAATTTTGGACATTACAGCTGAGAATTTTCTCACCAGTCCCCCGAGGATTCAACAATTCCTCGTCTCAATTGGATAGACTAACGATTGACGTGACTATCTGATCGTCAAGCTTCATGTAGCACTAACGAGCGCTCGCATTTATCACGCCTTTACAAACAATCGTCGGTTACTCCCCAATTGCAATCCTGAATTAATCCCTCGGTGTTTGAAAGCGCACTGAATATTTGATTCTCCTATTTCCGTTTTTTTATTCAGGGGCTATTGAATTTATCTGAATAACATTTTCGCAGTCGAATCGAGAGGACGAAAAATGAAATCCACTGAATTCTGGGATTTTAGTTCGGAAATTTTGATATTCCCGGTGATTATCTGACCTATGAAAACGTGAAAATATATTCCACCCATGAATCATGAATTTTCCAACCCCCGACTCGTGCGTGCTCGCCCGAAAAGATTAACCGAGCTGAAAGCCCCGTCATTACAGTTGAAGTAAGATAGCAAATAATTCTTTTCAGTCGCAATAATTTTTCCCTCCACTCTCGGTTTTTCATTACCCATACGGTAAAATACGGGGGAGGAGATACGTTCAATGAGAATTCCACAGTGTCTTTGACAAACCGAATTGACTCGGGAATCTCCGATGAGATACGGTAGTGATTGTCAAAGTGACAATGAGAAATTTCAAGAAATTCTCAAACCGGTTGAATACATTCATGGGAATTCGACGCTGATGACGCTATTATTTACATGGAGCCCTTCACCGTGAGAAGAATGGAAACTGATTTAACTGAGATGAGTCTCGGTACATACGCTTTAGATTTTAATCAACTCACTGTTTGCACAAGTGATCGTGATGTCTTCAAGGTTGAAAATATAAAAATTCTCTTCTCTGAATTCAAATGAAACGGATAAAACCCGTTGTGTCGTATTATTAAGGACACGGCTATTCGTACTCTGAATTAAAAATAAAAATTAAATCGTATTATTAAGAGAAAAAAAATTTCAATGCCCCAGCCGGGATTCGAACCCGAGACCTTCCAATATCGTGTCGAGTACTCGTAATTTTTTTTGTTCAACTACATTTTTTTTACCGGATACCTTTCGGTTTTTACGGTTTCTCATTTCTTCATCTCGTTTTCGCCGCATGTGTTTTTTTATTCCAATGCTCTTTCCAGTTTTTCCAAACAATTTTTTTTTGAGGTGTTCCCCCGCGGCCACCCATCCATCTAGTGACAACGCTCAGCGCTATTTATTGCAGCCTCGCTGACACCTTTCCGTGCGAATATAATTTAGTATAACAGTACAGCTCCTATCGCACACTTGATCGGATCATATTATTTTTTCTTCACTTTTGTATTAATTTGACGTGGATAATAAATCTGTAATTATTAGTTTAATTGCATTTGTTAGCGGATTGTTACCTCCCCAACAACACCTCAATCCCTTTGCTGTCTCACTCGCACCTTCAGTACCACGCGTATTCTTTTCTGATTCGTCAAATCTTAGGGATATTCGACAGCCTCGCTGACACCTTTCCGTGCGAATATAATTTAGTATAACAGTACAGCTCCTATCGCACACTTGATCGGATCATATTATTTTTTCTTCACTTTTGTATTAATTTGACGTGGATAATAAATCTGTAATTATTAGTTTAATTGCATTTGTTAGCGGATTGTTACCTTCCCAACAACACCTCAATCCCTACAGGGGGTAGGGGGACGAGACGGAAAGAAGAAGCGGGCCCCGAATGAAGCAATGGGCCACCAATTTTTTTTTCAGTCCACATGCCATGGAATTTTTCTGAATAAATTACCAACTCTCGTTCATGGGCACTAGATTACACCCCTAAATACGAAATAAAAATTTTTGATTTTTTTCTCGGATCCTCGAATTTTCGCGTTAGGCATGTCCAGACAAAGAGTGACGAGTGTTGAGTCCGTCAGTCCCTGGCTGATGGCAATTTCACTCCTGTTTTGAATTTAGATAGAATTTAGGCAAGCTGTTACAGGTTTTACTTCACCCCTTTCTCCCCCCACCAGACACACTTCTCCATCCATGTATGGATTCACGTTCATGTTATATGAAACGTGTACGTATGTACCCTCGGGGGAACATAACGCTTACATATACGTATATATGTATTTAGCACCGGGATGTGCAAGCGTGGAACTCTGGACCATTTGCCAGGACGTTGAGCCGTTATGCGTTATAACGAGTCTGTGTGGAGGTGTTGTATGTTAATATTACAGTTGTGGAGCTTCAAATTTTCACATTTTCCGGACGACAATTGGAAAACTGATGATAGTTGGTTTGAAAATTGTTGGAATATTTTGAGTGATATCAGGTGTCTTTGCAATTTTTCTAGAAAAATGTAATGGGGCCTTTATAAGGGGTCAAAACTATTGCAGCAAAATTCTTCATATCGAGAAAGTGTGATGAAACGAGCTGCTGGTAGTCTGAACAGTATAAATAATTTTATAAAATGTTTAAAAACACGAAGTGGTTGACAGGATGGCGCCGCCATCTTGCAAGTCCCGTGAGGTCGAGGGAGGGGGTATCAAAGCAATATGGCGGCCAGGCCTGTCACTCACCTCGCATTTTCAAACAGGTTTTTAAATTGTTCATTCTCTTCAGATTAACCGCAACTTTTTTCGTGACATTCTCGCGACGGGAAGAATTCTAACGCAATATTTTTCTCAAAAATCAGGAAAATTAGCGATTATTTGAGGCCAAGGGAGAGGGTATGCGTGCAATATGGTGGCTAGAGCGGTCACTCACCTCCCATTTTCAAACATGTTCTTAAATTATTCATTCTGTTCAAATTAACCGCAGCTTGTTTCATGACATTCTCGCGATGGGAACAATTCTAATGCAATAATTTCTTCATATTTTTTTCGATTCCTTTCCCAGTCTGGAGATGCTTCGATCAATTGGGAAGACCTAAAGAACTCCAATATAACATCAACAACCGTTGAACAGAGACACCCAATGCTCCCTCTGACGTCGTATATAAGGCTTACACCTACTTCCCTCTTCCTTACCTCCCACAAATGGTTATTACCCGTGATTTACTCGTAGGCTCAGGGGGGCACGTGATCCCACCATCCAGGAAGCTTCTTACTCGCAAAATTTTCTTGTTTGAGAAATCGTCGGGTATCCCTCTCGAATTCATAATTCGTACCGCTCATATTCATCGTTTACGGTGAGGGTGACATTGAAGCTTTGTCCTGTGAATTTGCAAGCTTACAGTGAAAAATTTTTATCAGACGGAGAGAAAACCCGCGGCGAGGGGTAGAAGAGGGATGGCTTAACCAGCACGACAATAGAGCAGAACGAAATTCCATGCCGTTTGCATTCCGGATATAGTCACCGGATGTGGGTGGGGGAGGAATGGGGATTACGAGGCAGGAACAGGAGGACTCGCGGCCAGCGCGGCGACGCAACACTTTATCCATTAATGAAGTGCCTCATCAATCTGCCCTATCTCGATCCCTATCCCCCCTCCCATTCCCACTTTTCCACTCTCCAACGGCTGTAATGCCACAGAGAGCTCCACTAAAGCGCTACTATTTCACCGAGTTCAAGCCTTCAACTCTTCCGGCAACTTTTGTCTGTTGGCAAAGTGAAATCCATTTGAAATAAATGTGTACTGGGGGATCAAGAGGAAAAATTGATGATGAGTCTATGCAGGGTTTTTTTTATTAATCAATTAATTGTCGGTTTGGAAATTAATGATTGAGCCCGGATGATTGGCTTTCTACTACGAACGTCTGGGAAAATCTTTGCTCCAAAAATTGGTCTCGCCAGTTGAATTACAGGGCCTCAATTATTACAGAACAATTGTTCCTATCAGGAGAGTGTGTTGACATAAGTTCACGGTGATTTGAAATGAATAAATATTTTTTTTTAATGTCTAAAAATCCGAGGTGACCGACAGCTTTGGGCGCCGCCATGTTGAAAGTCTCTTGAGCACGGGGAGGGGATATCCAAGCAATATGGCGGCCAGACTTGTTATCCGCCTCGTACTTTTAAAAATTTATTGCAATTATTGAGCCTCATCAGGCTGCCTTTAATGAGTTTTAACGTACTTTCCGGTTGTGAAGAATTCTGAAGTAATATTTTTTAGGAACTATAATTCAATGAATGAGGAAAATTTGTGAACAAAAAATTCTCCCGCATTTCAATGGCTTTGAACGAGAAATTTATGAAAGATATTTTTATAAAAGAATTATTTTTAAAAAACTTGGAAAAAATATTCTTCACGTCCGAGAAAATAAAGAAATGGTATCGAAATTCATCCGGAATCCTTTGAAGTTACCTCATGCATAGATCAACCTGGGATTTTCATAGAAATGCTAGAGTCCGTCTGACAGTTGGACCGGAAGGGACAATATCTAAATTCGTGGATAA